CAGATATCCCTCTTATGTATATCCAGCTACCTTTGGGCAAGTTGCCCTGTTGCGTTTAGATACAGTTAGTAACTTGTTCACCTCTGTTTGTCTGGTGTCTCCGGTCCAGGGTCACCACGGTGATCGAGGAGCAGAGTTGGCAGATGCAGTGCTACCCGGTGCCGCCTACACTGAAAAGCAGGCAACCTATGTCAACACAGAAGGGCGTGCCCAGCAAACACTGCCAGCTGTCGCACCTCCCGGCTTAGCTCGTGAGGATTGGAAGGTGATATCCACTGCTCTGTTTCATGCTTGGTAGGCAATGTTGTACATAGGCTACGAAGACTCTCCTTGCAAAAAAAGGATAGTGCGTCACACACGAAGCAAAGACATTAGTACTTTGCATAAGTGATGAGATGTCATTTTGGCATGTCGCCTTGTAGAAACACTTATTGTTCAACAACTTCTCATCGCCTCTAGCCTCTGTCTTCTTCCTTAGAAAGCTTAGGTGAGTTTGCAAGATATGAAATAACTGCGCATTGCTGATAAATGAGGGCATACGAAAAGGTCACTCAAACTATTGGTTCAGAGAGCACCGCAGCTCCACTGCATGGCTAGGCATGTGGGTTTGCACATGTGTGCCATGCTAAAGGCAGTTTTTCTTTTTCCTTTTTTAGATGAGTTCCAGCAATGGTAAATGGGTATTATACTTGTGGCTGTGTGAACTTCACAATGTTTGCATGATAGACGAAAGGAGTAGACGGGACAGGTGCATGTCTTCTGCACTTTCATCTGCTGTCCAAGCATCGTGAAGCACTCATACAGTACTTGAAAGTATGAGCCCCTACCGACTCGCTCAAGCCTCTGTTGTGTAATGCGACGGTTGTGACTGGATACTGCAGGTTGTCCGTGCTCTCTCAGAAGTGGTGGGAATGCCCCTGCCTTACGACAGCTTGAGCGAGGTGCGAGGCCGCATGAACGAGGTGGCCCCGCACTTGACGTGCTACGGGGAGCGCCAGGAGCTGCTCGTTGCCGACGACAATGCCAAGGCCGGCAAGGTCGAGTTGTCGCTGCAGGAACCGATACGGCCACAACTACTGGCGCTTCGTGACTACTACATGACAGACGTCATCAGCAGGGCATCGCCCACCATGGCACAATGCGTCCAGGCCGTCGACCAACAGGCCACCAGACCCTACTGAGCCGCTAGTGTATGATTGTACATAGGAGGAGCCCTCGAATTATTAAAGCTTGCTACTAAATCACCTGCCTCTTTTCATTTGCACACTTGCTGCAGTGGTCTAGTAGTTATGGTGCTTCACTGACCCTAAAGTAGCAGTATCAAATATTGGCAACGGCGATCGCATTTCCAGCAGAGGCAAATGCTCACATGTGGTGGCCTTCTAGGTTTGCCGGCTACCACGCTGTCTTGCAGAACAAGACATGGCACATTCAAAACGAATGCTCTCTTAATGAAACATTAATTAAAAAAGGACAGATAACTCCGTGTCCTCAAGCGAACAGCAGCTCCTGAGGAGCAATGGCGATGATGAAAGACGTCTAATAGGCTTGCGAAAAGGAAGTTCTAACACTGTGTGCTTTTATTTAGGCACATGTTGAAGAACCTCGGGTGGTACAAATCTTGGGAGCCCTTCACTACAGTGTGTCCCATAATCGTATCGTAGTTTTGGGACATGAAAAACTAAACAACAGATTATTTCATTTGCTCTACCGATCAATAGCTTGTGTGACTCAAGTGGCATTCACGTTAGTAAGCATAACCTGCCAATCTCCACATGTAAATGTCTTGCGCCTGATGCCACTCGGACTTGTTCAATAATTCAATTGAACCTCATTTCAGTAGAATTTCAGTAAACGGAAATTTCTAAAGCGAAATAAGTGTCCCTGATATCATTGATTTCATACTTGAATTCTGGATCTCCAAACCTGTTCCAGCGAATGGAACTTCTCTTAGATGAAGGATGTCTTACACGTCCCTTCAGATTCTGTCTAATGACAGTCTACTGTACAACGAAGTTGCATCTGACAAAAGAATACACTCAAGCCTCATCACAACAAAGCTACATCTTACACGAAAATAACTACGTTATATCCGAAAATTCATTATAAAGGTTTATTCTTAACACTATATCAATTGAAAGCCTATTTTTTGTTTACTTCATTATAACTGGTGTTTTGTTATATCGAGGTTTGTCTGTAACTTCATTATGACTGAAAGTTCACTATTAAGCTTGTAGTCATCTTTTTATCTATTACAAGGCTACTATTCATTTACTTTATTGTAATAGATAATTCATTGTATCAAGGTTTGTACCAGTTGTTAAATTCCATTCTGAAATCTCAACATCTGGACAAATTTGTGGAGTATGTCGAATTAACAAGGATAGAAAATGCAGGGCACCATTGTGATGGCTGCAGTCCTTCCTTGCTGCCATTAAGTCAGTGAGAATCGAGAAAAGTTTGTTCGATAATGGTCAAAGAGCTCTGTCAGTATCATCTGCAAAGGAGAAGCCTCAAACGTGACCATAATACATACTCGCTTTGTCAATGTGGCATTGCCTGCATGTTTGTGCAATGCAGCACACAGAACTGCCATTCATTAACTTGCTTTTCCGTGTGTAGATTGTGATATTCACAGGGCTTGGCACATGGGCATTGGCAGGATTTGGTTTTGGAAGGTGCTAACCCGTCTTGCATCGCTGCTGGGAGAATGGGAACATTGATGTAGCTGAGGTGGGGGACAACTGCCGGTGTGGCTTGAAGGTTTCAAGTGCCCCCCTGCACCCACCTGCCAACACCCATGGCATGGCGGTTTCAGCCAACGATTTTGGGATGTTGGCCCATGGGGGCCGCAGGCAGCTACATTACTCGTACCACCACTAGAGAACTCTGCATGCCACTCACAATTGCTCAGACAAGTGTTGTCACATAAAATCACTAAATACATTCCAACTTCAATATACTATTCATTATTAAGAATAGTCTTATCATGTAAGGACCATTCATTCAGAACGACTTTCTCAAGTTAGTTTCATGTCAGATGCAAACATGTATAAAGACCTCTACTACTAGAATGCCGATTCACTTAGTATAGGCACTGCACGCTGGCCAGAGGGAGCTGCGTTGCTCTCACTGCCTTGTCACAAAATTTTTGACCTTCGGCGTTTGGGGCACGCAGAAAATAGACGCGTGCCCGCGTCCCCCATGTATCCCAGCCACAATCCGCTGACAGATGCAGGGTGCAAGACGCGCTCGTCGCGTTCCATTTTCCCGAGGTCGTCTCAAGGTTGCTTTTTTTATCCGCTAGGCTGTGTATTCTGGCGCTGCAGTCAGACTGGAATACTCGACTGGACGGTACCTATAGGTGCGCAAATTGAGAAATGTAGCTGAAAAATTTAGCTGCAAGCAACAGACTCAGATATATTGCTTTTCAACCCACTTGGCCAAGTAGCCTGCGGGTCATTGCTATGAGTGTGCTTTTACAATGCAATCCCCTTGCATTGCTCTCGTATTGACCCTGCCTTTGACGAGTGTCTACTTGTCATATTTTACGTGCACTTCTTGTGCCTCTGACGCAGCTCACACAAAAAGTAACATGGCTGATGCATACCCGGGAAGAAACCGTGTTTGTTAACCTATCATTTATTTACTGAGGATCTCTAAAGGGCCCTTGGATGAAGCATTCGTTGAGGGGCAGGAGCGGTGCCAGAATTTTTAGGGGCGAAGTTCCTCACGCTGTGGGCTAGTGTGTCCCGTGTTTTGTAGTATGTAGTACTAGCCATTCCTCATTTATACCCCACAAAATGTCCGCTGGATGGCGGTATTTGTATATGATGAATATATGATGAAAGGATGCGAGATGGCAGTACTTGGAGTGTTCATTAGACAGATGGACGGACGGATGGAGGACGCAAGAATGAATAGACGCTTCGCCTCACTCGTCATCATTCACTCCGTGGATATGCTGTGCTTTTTTTGGCTTGGGGAAGAGGGGGGGGGGGTGCGTTATGATCATGTACGATATTCGGGGGGTGGGGGGGACCCGACCTCCCCCCCCCCCCCACACACACACACCGGCACCACTGCTGTTGAGGGGGTTGGTATTATGGTGCATAATGCAGTTTAAAATGGATGACCTGAACGACTGCTTTCTTCACTGATTATCTTGAAATGACAAGGACCGATGACACTAGCGATATCAGTGGGTAACGTATTCTGGCTAGCTCTTTGACGTACAGCCCTGAAGCAGTTTGATTGAGGCTGACACCACGTACGTTTGGGTTCTGTTGCCAAGATGCTAACCATACATGCCGACATACTATCCAAGCCTACCGAGGTATTATCTCGGCAAAAGCGCCCAGCACTTCGTGGCTGGCTTCCATCAAACTAGCCCTGGCCACGCATCGAAGTGTTCGCGTTAAAGGTACTGACGGCTGTACATTAGAAGAAAGTTATGGTAGCAGTGGTTGGATGTATGAGTGGTGGGTACAAAAAGTACAGATCTCTTTTATAAAATCTAATAAGCACAATTTTTTTTTTTTTTTTTTTTTTTTTTTTTTTTTTTTTGCAGCATGTTCGCGACCAAACAAGCTAGGGGTTGGAAGGGATCCCGGTGTTCCCTGAGGACCCCACCACACGTCCACCTTGACCTTGGGGGATGCTTCTAGCTCTCCCTCGAGTGTACTTGAGTTAACTTCAAGGGACCACTAAAAGTGGTCGAAGTGGTTCGCTTAAGTGGAAATTCTGGAACAATGCATCCGTGATGCTGCTATGGTTCTAAACATTCTAACCATGGCAACATGGTGTCTACAGATTTTCTTTATTTATTGACGGAAGCACGTTTTAGTTACTTCATGACACGCGCGAGTGCGAAAAAAAAAAAACTGAAGGAGGCGTTGCGTGCGAAAAAAAAAACGCTACTACTATTATTGCGCACATGTGCGAACAAACAATACAGCTCTATCAACATCAACATCGCCGAACCAAGCTAATCCAACATAAGTAAGTAAAAAAGACCGCTTTCTAGCCGTTTTCGGAATGAGGAACAGGGAACTGGATGAATTGCTTTCGCAGACGAAGTTGGCGCATTTTGCTAGCCGTGTGCCCTGAGAAAGCAATGGCTGAACGACGGTGGTGACCACGATGGACGAAGACGACTGGGAAGCCCGTGTAGCGGACGTCGAGTGGCAGCGGCTGCAGGCAGCGCGGGACCAGGACGGGCTTCGCGACGGCATAGCCGAGGGCAAGGAGCGCGCACTTCAGGCCGGCTTCAACCAGGGATTCCGCGAGGGTTTTCAGCTGCTACGCCAAGTCGCCGTCTGGAGAGGCCTCGTCCGGTCAGTTACCTGCTGATTACCGTGGCGCAAGCTGAGCGGATTATGATACGTGAGCACGGCAGATGAAGTATAAAACGGCGCTTAGATAGTCCTTGTTATCATCTCGTCTGGTCTTGAGCGATGTGTTATCCTTCATCCACTCAGCTGATTGTAGAAAACGTTGATATGGTAATCTCGGATGAAATAACCGACTAAACACGAACGATCGTGCTGTGCCATTCGTTTGTCTAGTTTTGATGATGCAGCAGCGTCACCCCCTTGAGCGGGACATGGCAGGTGAATAAAGTGTTACGAAGAGCCCCCGTTACCTGCATCACTAATGACGTCGCAGGTCTTCGAACTTTGTGACGTCATATGACGTCGACGGGCCGTTGTCGTTTGGTCAAAGGTGGGCTCATCCCTGATGCGGTGTGACGTACAGAAAGCTACAAGGAAGGAGACGAGGAGAGGCACAAAGCAATTGACTGTTCTGTTACATGCAAAATGTGTAGGGAAGTGGTTTTCAATGGGATGAGAGATCTATTTGACTTTAACCAACCTAGAAAGCATGATGGTTCCTGGCAACAATACACCTTGTTGGATCACAGTTGTCATCAAGCAGGCTAGCAAGGTATCTGCATAATACAACAAACTCAACTTATGTACTTGCCTTTGACTCGATAGAAACTCACACAATCTTGGAAGAACTAAGTCACCAAGGAGTACTGGAAACATGTAGCTTGATCTATAAAAACTAAACAGCTATTCTGCTTCATCACAAAGGAAGGAAAAAAAAATAGGTTTAAAAGGGAATCAGACAAGGAGATGCAACCTCTCCTTTGTTCACTGAATGTATTGAAGTATTTAATCAAGTGGACTGTGCAGGAACAAGAATAAAAATTGACTATCTCGGAAGCATATGATCTGCAGATGACATTGTGCTATTAAGATGATACTTGAACCAAGAATGTAATGAAGTAGGACTAAATGTGAATATGCTCGAGATGAATATAATGCCGAGTAGTCTGGAGAAAGGGCTCACTGTTGGAGACTACCGTTAGAGTCTACAGAACATTTACTCCTATAGTCTAACACAACTTAAGAAGACTGGAAAGCCCTGCCCAGATGACTGAAGAGCGGCAGCCGATTGCCTCTGCGACTGAAAAATAGTTCCGCTTGTGCACTTGGCAATCTTCTCCGATGGCAGAGTCGCTTACCGCCCGACTCACGACATCAGCCTAGAGTGTGCACCCATTGGTGCAAGCTTGTGTGTATATGCCTTTGAGGATGAAATGCCACGGACTTTGAACATTGCATCCGACCATAGCTCATTTACTAATAGAGGAGGGAGCTTGGAAAAAGGAGATTCACAAAAGAATAAAGAAAAGGGAGAGTCAGGAAGTATGGGCTTAAATATTGTGGTAAAGCTCCAAGTAATGATACGCAGTCTCGTGCTGTTTCCAAGGTGAAAAGTATACAATCGCGGCATACTGCCAGTTCTAGCATATGTGGCTGAAAAATCAGGATATCTAAGAAAAAGTGAAGGACAATGCAGCGTGCAGTAGAAGAGGAAATCGTAGGCGTAACATGGAAAAATTCGAGGACAGCATAATTGGTTTGGGAACGAAGAGGAAGTGAATATTCCAGTTGTCATCAAGTGAAAGAATTGGACTTGGGCTGGCCACACAATGCATAGAAGAGATAGCTGATGGCCAGTACAAGCAACAGGATGGTTACCAAGGGATGGCAGTTGAGAAAGAGAGGGGGAGATAGTGGCAAAATTGAGAAGTTCACAAGGATAAAATGGAAACAGCTCACACAGGATAGGGTAAACTGGAGATCACTGGGGGAGGCCTTTGTCCTGCATGGGGCCAAAGCAAGCCGAAAATGGTGATAAATGATAACAAATATGAGAGCAACTTACACTGGCTCCTTATGTCTTTCTAAAAGTGTGGCCCCCAATTGTATTAATTGAAATCCATTACGAAGTGTGCAGTAGGTGAAGTGGTTGGTTGTTCATCAGTAACTTGGCACGACCCAAGGGGGTGATTTGATATAAACCGGGTGTATATAGTTTTGTAAATTAGAATGCTTGGTAAAATAAGTAGTTTTAGAAATGAAATCTTAGTGAATAACTCATTAATAACCTAAGCAAGGAAAATCAAATGAGCAGTTTAATCAACAGAAGGAACGGCAGTTAGACTGGCTTAAAATTAATTTTTTTTGTTCTTGCATTGGAAGTAACGCTCACTGTGGTGGTCTAGTGGTAATAGTCGCGTGTTCAAATTCCAAGCCGCACTTTCACTGTGGGCGAAAATGGTCGAGGCCCATGTACTTATGTGCACATTAAAGAACCCCAGATGGCCAAAATTGCCAGAGCCCCGCACTATGACATCTCTCAATCATATCGTGATTTTGGGACATTAAGCCCCATCAATTATTACATAGTAAATCACATATGGCATCCCACACGCTCCTGTTGTTGTAAAACTCAGTGTAGCAGCAAAAAAAAAACTACCAGAAGCAATTTTTCAGATGGGTTGCTCTATTGATCGCTTCCTTTGATATATGAATGTCTGCCATGTTGAAAAGAAATGATGCAGAGATTCACTCTCATTGCAGTAGAGGCATAAATGTGAATGTGTCACGCCAGACTTGTAAAGGTAAGTATTGAGTAGGAGGGTGGACTTTGCATCGTAGTCTGGTAATTAATATTTCTACCCTTCTAGTGGAGCCCCATGGATTCTTGCAAAAAGTGTAAATGTGCTACAGATCCTTTAGAAGGTAGCTCTTAGGCAGCCGTTCTCCAGACCTTCTGCATGGCAGTCGAGCATTCTACCCCTGAGCTACGTTGATGCCTGGAACTCGTTTGCAAAAAATTCCAGGTTTGTGTGGAAAGTGCAGCACAGTCATAGCAAAACCTAAATGTGCAGCATTTCTAGAACACGTAAGCTTTCTTGGGTCTTCTACTAAATGTACCCTTGCAGAGTACCTACTTCACTATAAATTTTCATTTTTATCAAATTTGGAAGCAACCAGTATGCTATTATTCGTCAAAGGTATCTGCTATGCATTTGCAAGGCATTATGTGCATTTTGTTAATGCAGTGTCTGAGCCCTTAGTGATGGGATGGATGTATTCAACGACCCACTTGTTACACAATTCGTATTCGTGACACTTGGTTAGAAAATTAACACTGTGTGGTGTCTGGTCGTTACGTCACTTCTCTACCATGCCATACTGCATATGTCGATCCAGTTCCTTCCCGACTTAACGCCTGCATAGGGTCTTTTCGCAGGGGAGTTTCGAGCACCGGCATGATTCTGTGGTAGAATACAGGGCTGCCATGGAGAGTACCAAGGTTCATACCCCTGTCTATCCTGGATTATTAATTTTTTTTTTGAGCGCTAGCACGTACGAACACCCGCGGCAGACAGCTACAGCGTCAAAAATGGCCTTTGTTGTAATCTCCATAACAACTTTTGTTATAAAATACCTGATACAAATGTGATGTCGGTCAAAAAATCACGTTACCTTACGTAATATAGCGTGGCAGAAGAGTAAAATAACATCCAGTCTTAAGACGACGCTAATTGTGTGTGGTTTGATTTCTCCCACCCCCTGCAAAGTGCTCAGCCATAATTCTACACAGTTATCAGCCACATACAGCATCAACAAAGTGCACATAATACCTTACAAATGTGTAGCAGGTACCTCGCTTGTCCATAGAGACTAATAATGTTGCAATAGGTTCTGTCCTACTTCACAAAAATTATGATTTTTGGCATAGTGGATACCTTGCAGATAGCCAAAACTTCAAACGCAGTTGACCTTGCCCCAACATGAAGCTGTGCATAGACCTTAATTTTTCACTTACATTACTCGCCGCCTTCTTAACCAATCCCCTTAGTGAGTAAGAGCCAGGACAGAGGGACAAGCAAGCTGTGCTCAGAATTCACATTAGGCAGTATTGTATTAGTCTGTGAATTTCTTCTGTCCCTTTCTTTACAGAGGTGCCTGCATTTTTGCAGAGGGCAGCGATCGGTCGGAGCTGTCTGAACTGTCCGGCCGGTTGATTCAGCTCGAGAGGGACTTGCTCGCCGGCCGTGCAGGTGCGACGCAAGTGCGCGAGACTCGCGTCCAAGTGCAGTGTGCGCTGCAAGCTCGCGGACTAAGCCTACCAGATGAGGGCCCAACACAGGAACAATAATAAAAGAAAAACCGAAATCAGTTCCACCCCATGTGAAAGCTGTACGCACTGCAGAGCATTGATTCACCAGTTCTTGTTATATGTTCTTTTGTGTTCTTTACGTGCGAGAACATGATATTATATAACATTCTATGTTCTTTTCTTAAGAAGGAGAAAGAAGACAACCACCCATTGTAGCACAAAGCCACAAGAAGATCCGTACGGATTGCTCGGAAAGAAAAGCTTTTTAGTTGCCACAAAATACGTCCTGGTCCGCAGTTCTTGAACCCAAGACCAATGCCTTTCCGAGGCGGTCGCTCTACCAATCGAGCTAACCAAGAAGCTAGCAATTGAGAGTGCCAGGGCAAACTCATTGACAACTCGAAGCACATAGACACAAGTGTTGCAAACGAGTTCAGCCGAAGCTCGCAAGGTGGCGGAAGGGTTAAGAAAGGGAAAGACAACCACCTGTTTTAGCATGAAGCCACAATGAAATCTGCATGGATTTCTTAGAAAGAAAGCTCTTTAGTTGCCGAAAAATTCGTCCTGGTATGGGATTTCCTGCAGTTTTGCAATTATCTTTTCTTGCGACTATCTGATTCAAAATAACAGAGCTCAGCTGGTCGGTAGGTTTTTATGTTGCGAAGACTAGGCGGTCAAATATGGACATAAACGATGCCACCAATGCTTATGGTGTCTTCTCTCTTGAGCCCGTGTTTGTACGGCCGGCCAACATTATTATCTGATTTTGTTCGTGATTATCTATCTGCTGTTGTACGCTCTTCATTTCTACTGCTTGCTATTCCGAGCAGAGATGCGTAACTCCAAGTGCTGGTGTTTCGCTGTCGCTTGGCTGGCTCGGACAAACGATTTGGGCTTCGGACAACGCTGGCGTTCCTTGGGTCGGAGGACTGTGCTGGCATTAGAAATGTACAGGCTGCTCGATATATGTGCATCACAGGTTGGACCTGCATGGCCCCAACTTGAGGCATGAGACGACAGTGCCGCCCCTCAGAGAGACACTGAAGAGCAAAACAATATTCCGCGTATAAGTAAAGTACAATTTCACAATCCCGAAAACGCCGCTCTTACTGCAATACAGCTCCTAGTAAGCGAGAAAATAAATGCAGGTGGCGATGCCACCTTGAGACTCCCGCACCAAACACAGTGAAGTAAAATTTTCAAGGCATCTACTTGGTTCTATATAGATTACAATTGATCAAATTGAAGTACATTGTAATCTGTGGCTGCCACAGACTTAGCATGTGGAGTTTCAGTAAATTTCATCGAGCCAATGCCACAAGAATACCTAAAATACAATTTAAAACTTTCCAATGTCATGTGCAGGAGTTTTGTACGCTCCCTTTAAAAAAGAAACTTTCATCTCGATTTCCTTTGTAATAATGAACTTATGACAGCAAAACATGTGGCATTAGAATTTTCAGAGTGCATTTTATCAATCTAAACTGAGTCATTGTTCCCTTTAGTGTCCCTGTAACTGCACTGCAGCTAAAATAAGAGACTCCAGTAACACACTTCCTACGTTCCTTTACTGTCGCCATCCGGCTCTGCCGGCTCGGAGTTGCCGTTCCACCGGCCTGTCGTGAAGTAGTTGTAAAGCAGTTCGTGTGGCAGAGGCTTCCTTTCCTCGGCAGGCACGAACATGTCGTTCCGGGCAATCTTGAGCCAACCCCAGTAGACGACCGTCAACCATCCGGCGGAGATCAGCACAGCGGTACCCGGCATACCACCCTTCACCGCCACTGCAAAACAACAGTGCGGGGGAACAAGTTTCAGGTTTTAAAGCTCTCCCTACACTGTTCCAGGAGATGCGCCAGGCCAGATTTTTTTTTCTTTGTTCTGGGAAGGGGCACCGACAACAACTGTGTTCCTTCAGGGGGCAGAGATGCACATAACTTGTGCGTTGTGTTTTGACTATGCTTGCTAGGCAGGCGAGGATTTTCATCTATGGAGATTTTGGGGGGGACCGCCACTGCAAGACAACAGTGCAGGGGGAAGAGGCTTCGGGTTTTAAAACTCGCCACACTGTTCACACACCACACACGGCACGCATTTTTCGGGCCGCCTCGGCGAAGCTACTGCGGCCCGCGCGAACGGAACGCAGAGCGCGTACGCATGTGCGTTTCAATAACACCGGCTTCTCGCAACCGTTCTTGCGCAAGCGGCGATACAGACGCTTCAACTTGGACACGTCCTCCGGCGTGCTGCTCCGCTCCTTGACCAGCCGCTGGCAGAGGCTGCGTACGCGCGCAATGGACGCGAGAAGCAGCAGGAGAGTCTCGATTTGGTGGCCGTTTTGCATTCGCTGCAATATGTACGCGGCCGCTAACTCGCAGTCCGCAACGGCTTGCGCCGCCAGCGGCTTGTTGAGAGACTGTCGCGACCGCGAAAGAAGACGTCGAACGGCACGACACACCTTGCGCACTCGGCCCAAGCCGCTCTCCGGAGGCAAGTGGTTGAAAACCGTGTGAACGAGCGCGCGCAATATGCCCGCCTCCGTTATTAAGTGACCGAGTCCGGCACGCCGAGTAGCCATGGGAGGCACAAGAGCGGCTACTCACTCTTCTTGCCCTTGACGCTGCGCCCTAGGAAGTCGCCGCTGCTACCGATTCATCAACGCTCTCCGACGCACAGTTGCGATGCTCCGCTTCGACCTCTGCAGATTTCGAGTTCCTGCGTTGCTCCGGACGCTGGCAGAGCCGCTGTCGTTCGAAAACAGGCGAAAGTTCACGACCATTCACCTACAGACATGACATCGGCTAACATGTAAACGCATGAAACATTTTGCAAAAGCAAAGGATTGGCTTTTCTCAGATTGGCTACAAATTGGCAAGGCTTGGTGTGGCTCGTTTTATTGTGCGTGCAATTCTGAAAGCCAGCAAAACGGTTCACGCTTCAAACATGGGATGGATTTCATATCTTAAATAATAGGATTACAATCACAATACGCGTACACAGCTGCCAACGAAAGCAATTTGGCTACGCTGCGGCGTAATTGTAGAACAGGTCACTGCAGCCGGCAGACTAGTTAGTCGACAAGGGCACAACTTCACAACTTGGTCCTTGAAAGAGAGATAAAAGCAGAGACAGAGCGCTGAAATTTACTTAATGCAACAAAAATACCACAATTACAATCATGTGAAACACTAAATGCTATTAATAAAACGACATTTGTTGAAGATAGGCTCTTATGTACCTCAGGTTCGTTGGCGCCGTGGCTTAGTTGGTTAAAGCGCCTGTCTAGTAAACAGGAGATCGTGGGTTCGAATCCCACCGGTGCCTGGCCTGCACTTCTGGTCAATACCATAAGGCTTTTTTTTTTCTATCATTGCTGATTAATAGATCAAGTTTTCATTATTTTAGTACAACTATACTTTCACAGAACAGCACTATTTTCTATCCATTTGTGAGTGCATAGCAGGCTTGATTCTGTGTGCACTCTAATTGCAAAAACCTGGCACACTGACCTCGACCACACACTTCTAATTGCGTTACCCATCATTTTGTTTGCCCAGTCCTACAGACTAGAGCTGCATCGCTCAATTCACCAGGTCAAATCACCACAAAGCCACGTTTGCACTCTCACCTTTGATTCTGCTATTTGTCTTCCAGCCAGAACACAGGGTATGAAATAGTTTGCAGGAATTACCAAGCAGTACTAAAAGACGCCGTTTCCGACTGAGCCAATGCTGCATTGGCACAATCAGAAATTGCATCTTGAGTACTACAGATTCATGAACTACGATTTCGCCACAGCAACCTGCCTGCTCACCTTAAAATTCTGCGTGCTATTTGTTCACACAGTACTGCCAGTTTCCACATAAGACTGTTAGAAGGCGCGACTGGTATAAAATACAAAACAAAGTATTATAATTTATAAAAGGAATTTAGACACAAGTGTGCCACACCACACGAGCTGACCGAAATAAATTAGAAAATGTATTCAAAAGAAGCTTACAGAGCTTACAATCTGCAGAAAAAAATTTGAAAAGTGTATTAAATTTCATTCTGTTCAACTATCCATAAAAAAAAAGAGTTTAAAGAACCATGTCTCTCCTAATTTGAACTGGGAGCCCACGGCTTTCATTGCTCCTCGCAGAAGTCAGCTCAGAGTGATCACAATGTATTGCAAAAAGTTGAAGCCAAACCAAATTTATTACACATGCGAAACAGCAGCAGTTCTCTGCAGGGAAGAATTTTGACTCTGAGAATTGAATTCCACTAGTGATCTCCTCGGCAAACTGAAAACGATGATCATGGAGTTCTGACAAATAAAGTGCAAGAAAATCACTGATTACTTTTAGTTTTTATAGCATGATCTCTGCTACGCAAATAAAACTATTTTGGAGCAGTAAGAGCATCATGTATCTCGACATTAAGACTCAGTGCCCACACGAATGCATGTAGCTGCTGTTTCTGGCTTATTATTGACCAATCAGTTAAGTCTGTTAGCTTATTTCTATGAACATAATTTACCAAACTACCTGTCACAAACATGTAGTATTGCCCAATTCACAATAAGTCCAGAGGCGGCTTCTTTGGGTTCTGCCTGTGCAGTATGGCACAATGAGAGTTAATTCTATGCCCACCCGCTAATTCGAACAATCTTCTAGAGCCCTTTAAATACGTATCAATGAGCATTCACTGTACAATGGAAGTGCTTGTGCAAATGCATTGGTAGTTCGACCTTCCACAATACTGCCAGGCTTGAAGATCAGTCTTACACTGCTTTGTATGAGATGGTCTGATAATTTGCTTAAAAATTATTTCCTGTGTTGCTGAGGCACAATGCTACTCACACACGCTTGGCATTCATAGTACTGACTCCAATACAAATTTACCCTAAAAAGACTAATGCAATGCTAATGTACCTTGGAATATTAGAAGACTGATGCATAATACAAACATGCCTGCACCACGTACTTTTAGTCTCATGAACACCCTCCCTAAGGTATGATGAGAAGTTATTGAACAGCTGCCAATTTTAATATTTTGAAAGGTGGCCTAGTCTTTCTTTGTTCCTGCTCTGGCAAACACAAGTCTAAGCGGAAATCCCTCGTTTAATTGCTGTCAATTACTTTAAAACTTCCTGTTATTCGGCCTTTTCCATCTTTGGCTTAGTCCATGCTGATTTTGCTTAATACACTTGACTGTGGCAGACAATACATTTCGTGAAAAGAGGAAGGAATCAAGAGAGAACATGAAGTGCCGACTATGAAGTGTTTAATGGCACCTCAAGAAACATACAGGAAAAAAGGACCATGCATGAAGAGCCAACAAACGACATGAAGTGGCATGGTCACGATAACACGTTATCGAGTAAGCGCATTTCTGTGGAATACGAAGTCATAGATGTGTCACTGACCCAATCTATAACTCAAAATCTACAACAGTAAAAACTGTTATATCAATAACACTCGAAGGCTAATTAGAAGCGGTCTCAGAGCAACATTCAGTTTCATCTCTTGGCATGGTTAGGCTGATCTAACATAGTTCTGCATGAGCACAAATGCTGTAGTCAACAAGACTGGCAGCATTTCTCCCTTATATTCGCTATGCAAGCACTAACTCGCAAAAGAAAAAGTATTTTTAGAATACCGTGCCTCAGGTGGCAAAAGCAGAGATATTTTGTCAACAATACCTTCACGCTGCATTTAATACAAGGCCGTATTGCAAAAAAAATGCATCCCACAGCCGAGCCAGCAGCCAATGAGAACACAAGCCATTTGAGTTACTCCTTGAACTTCCACTCCTGGCGGCACATGGGGCAGAGCTGCTGCACCTGCTGGGAGTTGAGCCACTTCATGATGCAGTGGATGTGGAAGCAGTGCGAACACTGGCCCCACACTGCAACGAGACAATTAAGCAGGCATTTAGGTGAAGACTAGGTCCCAGATATACACTAACTCAGGCAAAAATAAACACTATTCAGTAAGCAAATTAAGTAAATTTGCATTGAGAAGATTAGTATGGAGAGTGACTCTGAATTTGTCACATATGCGTTTTCTCACTTGCTGTGAAAACGTTACTATAAAGCTTTTGTCAAAGCTTACTGGGAAAGAAGTCTTTTGACATTATTACCAATTAAAGAAGCGTGTTTTCAATTTACTTCAGTGTCAGTCAGCACCTGTCCCGTGTGTTCTTCTCTGTGTCCTGTTTTACACATGCTACGCCTCGGCGTGAAAAATTTGTTGCAATTAAGTTGCATCAAGAACATTTGTACAGAGAGAGAGAGACAGACTCGGAATTCGTCACATAGGCCTTCCCTCACATACTAAGAAACATTTTCATAAAGCTTTCGTCAAAAGCTACTGTGAATCAAGTCTCAGAGCAACAGCTGCAGCTCTCGTAGTGGTTAGTCTGATCTAACAGTGTTCTGCATGAGAATGCCAATGCTGCTGTCAACAACTTTGGCAGGATTTCCAACTTATATTTGCTTGGTGCCCGTACACCTTACTTGGACTCTACTCAATGCCTATCGGGCACTGCTAGGTGTCTAGAATGTATGAAATAATTGCAACATTCTTGCATTTCGTGCCATTCAGCTGTTCTTGAAAGCAACTCCTCCGTTTTTTCGGTGCCTAAAGTGTCGTATGTCCAGTACACCACCGACGAAACTCTCTTGTCTAAAGGGTCACGTTTCCAACATTAGTGCAGCATAAATACGAGTGAAACTTCGAAGCATCAGGCGAGATCTCCTTATCGCACTTGAACCGCCCACCCGATATTGGGTGTCGCAGGGCTTCTCATCTGCTGCGAAGAATGCTTATTTCCAAGGCGCGGTCGCGGGAAGGATACAGTAAAGAACGAAAAACGACGTCGTACGCCTACTCCCTTTGTAGTGCTACTTTCTTCTTACCGAGCGGGCAGTCATCGCCGGGCATTTTGCAGTCGGGACAGCATCCGTCGAAAGCCACCCGGCATATTCCACAATTATCGTCGTTGGCGATCCAACGCCAAGAAGCTACGCTCGTCCAGCCTGCGAAGTCGGCGAGCGAGAATTGGAATTTTTACAACTCGGACACATCTCGAGGTAGCGTCTGTGGCGACAAAAATCGAGTCTGCGAAGTGTGTACAACTTTACCGAGCAACGAAATAGAGGAGAAACGATACATTCGCGGACACGATTCGATAGTTTCAATTGTAATTCGGCCTGAATATTATAATCGGTTTTAAGCAGAAACACGTGTACTTAAAGACGAGCCCTACGAACGCGGAGTCAACGCCCAACACAGGTGCGGCCCGTTCGGGCTACGGAGACTCCCGAGGATCAAATAAAGGAGAATTCACTACCAAATTTTGCTATTTCCGAAGGTCAACGCCCCGTACTGTACAAACACGTCGTGCAGGGATTGCTCCACCGCCACTTTTCATTTAAACACGAGGGGCGTCTTGCACCCAACGCCGGCTTCTCGCAAACCTACATGGTTCGTTACGAAGCTGACATTTTCGATTAGTCTGCCCAATACTCTATCGGCAAGAAACGATTGTTTTGGAAGCATAATTTCGCCGTACAAACATCTCGCACGTACTACGCATTACGATGACGTTCGCACAACGCCGCAATGCTGCGGCAGTAGCTTTTTAATTGGAACGCTTACACGGCGTGGCAAGCAACGCTGCTAAATCTGTAAAACACAAACATAAATCTCGCCTACCAATCTGAAGCATTTCATTCTGAGGCAGTGGGCTGCCAATTTCACGATCAACACTCGTTTTGTCACGTTGGGCATCGTCAACGCATCAAAAAGGATGAAATGTCGGTGAATAAAGAACACGAAGAGCAACGGGAACGATCACAAACGTGCACCCGTTAAAGCAGGCGACGCTAGGGCATAAAAATTTGAGGATCAGAAACACACTCATACGTTTAATCGTCACTTTCATCCCGATTGCACGAGAAAATTCGCGAAAACTTGCCGGGTAAAAGAGCGCGGACAAACGCCCATGACGTCATCCAGACATCAACTTCCGCCGGAACAGGGACTACTTTCCATCACAATTGTTCTCGAAAGTTCTAGAAGGTTCCAGACATTTGCGCCTGTTTGCTCACATAATACTGTTTCCGGTAAATAGTCCTAAAAATAAAAACGCACTACATCCTATCAAAATCTTTAGCATACAACAAAAATTGCTGTAACATAAATTTAAAAGCGCAAATAAGCATTTGTGCAAAGTAACAAACCTATTTAAAAACTGTTTTGAGGTGTAGGTATCAGCACCGGAAATGCGCAGCAATACACAACAGAACCAAAGCACCGAGAACATTCGGTGGCGTCTTTAAAAGCCGGCGCCGGCCGCGTGCGAGGTAGATTCATCGATTCGCTGATCGTCGATTCGTTGCCCGTGCTTAGCAGCGGTTGCTAGTGACGAAGTCCGATCAGGGTAAGTAGGTTTCGGTGACTTATTGGAGCCCCCCGTGTTAACGGTTACTGCAAATATCGGCGCGGAGGCTGCTGTATTAGTACATCATTTTTATCAACGTGGTCGGCACCTAGGCGTCCCGGATTTTCGCGGCAGTTGTGCAGCCAGGTGATGTGCCATATTAAGAGTTTGCAACAGGGAGTAGACAGCGGATTTGTCTGAGGATACTGCAATCAAGAAAACCAATTTCGCTGGCTATATTTGTAAGGCCGCCCCCCGGTCTGTACTTCCTCTGTTAAAATGTGGTAACCCTACTTGTGATAGCACCGTGCGTTGTAATAAGATTTTTTAAAATTATAATTGTACTCTTGGGTTCGCAGTTTTTTTTTTTTTTTTGTGAGGAGCGATTACTCGGACGCTACGGAAGTTTTCACACAAGTTCTCTCCCCTTCTGTGCAGATGCCTGAGGAAACGCGCATGGATGACTCCGGCGAGGTGGAGACCTTCGCCTTCCAGGCGGAGATCGCCCAGTTGATGAGCCTTATCATCAACACCTTCTACTCCAACAAAGAGATCTTCCTTCGTGAATTAATCTCCAACTCATCGGACGCCCTGGACAAGATCCGCTACGAGTCCCTCACGGATCCGAGCAAGCTCGACGCTCAGAAAGAGCTCTTTATCAAGATCATCCCCAACAAGGATGACCGCTCGCTGACCATCATTGACACCGGCATCGGTATGACCAAGGCCGACCTGATTAACAACCTCGGCACCATCGCCAAGTCCGGCACGAAGGCTTTCATGGAGGCGCTGCAGGCCGGCGCCGACATCAGCATGATCGGTCAGTTTGGTGTGGGTTTCTACTCCGCTACCTGGTCGCCGACAAGGTAACCGTGACGTCGAAGCACAATGACGACGAGCAGTACACTTGGGAGTCGTCGGCCGGCGGTTCCTTCACCATCCGCACTGACAACACCGAACCCCTTGGTCGCGGTACCAAGATCGTGCTTCACCTGAAGGAGGACCAGGCGGAGTACCTCGAGGAGAGGCGAATCAAGGATGTGGTGAAGAAGCATTCCCAGTTCATCGGCTACCCGATCCGGCTGTTGGTGCAGAAGGAACGCGAGAAGGAGTCTCGGACGACGAGGAGGAAGAGAAGAAAAAGAGGAAAAGACTGAGGAGAAGCCTGACGAGGAGAGCAAGCCCAAGATAGAGGACGTCGAGGATGACGACGAGTCTGCAGACAAGGACAAGAAGAAAAAAAAGAAAATCAAGGAGAAGTACTCCGAGGATGAGGAGCTGAACAAGACTAAGCCCATCTGGATGCGCAACCCGGATGACATCTCTCAGGAGGAGTATGGCGAGTTCTACAAGTCCCTCACCAACGACTGGGAGGACCACCTGGCTGTCAAGCACTTCTCGGTCGAGGGTCAGCTCGAGTTCCGCGCCCTCCTTTTCGTCCCCAAGCGGGCGCCCTTCGACCTATTCGAGAACCGCAAGCAGAAGAACAACATTAAGCTGTACGTGCGCCGGGTCTTCATCATGGACAACTGCGAGGACCTCATTCCCGAGTACCTCAACTTCATCAAGGGCGTCGTAGACTCTGAGGACCTTCCCCTGAACATTTCCCGAGAGATGCTCCAGCAGAACAAGATCCTCAAGGTGATTCGCAAGAATCTCGTTAAGAAGTGCCTCGAGCTCTTCGACAGCATCGCCGAGGATCGCGACATGTACAAGAAGTTCTACGAGCAGTTCAGCAAGAACATTAAGGTGAGAACTCTCTCCCCTCATTGCAACTCCAGATTTTTATGCCTTCCAGCACGAAACGCGCCGTGCACAAGCACCAACACTGGTCCTCTTCGGAGGTTGCTGGTGTTGTTGCCGGGACGTGTGAGGTGGTGCTTAATGGAAGGATATAAATAGGGCATTAATCGGATCCGTCCAGGGCCTCTCTCTGTATGCCCCATTGGCGCGGTCTATCGTACGTGCCCTACATACCATTGTTCTAAGGTTCCTATAGTCTATGAGCAGTGGTCTTGCACAACAGACCTGCACGACCGAGTCTAGTGCACATTCCTTCTAGTTATTCAATCCATTGCATCTTAACCTTCCCCAAGCTCTGTATATAGTGTCTTATTCTTAGTACATTATTGTTATCACTTGATCTCTTGCTTGTAGCAGTTATACTATATGCACTTTCTCTCTCTTCTACAGCTGGGCATTCACGAAGACTCTCAAAACCGAAAGAAGCTTGCCGAGTTCCTCCGGTACTACACCTCTGCCTCTGGCGATGAGATGTGCTCGCTGAAGGACTACGCATCTCGCATGAAGGAGAACCAGAAGCACATCTACTTCATCACAGGCGAGTCCAAGGACCAGGTCGCCAACTCTGCCTTCGTGGAGCGGGTCGGGAGCGAGGCCTCGAGGTCATCTACATGATTGAGCCTATCGACGAGTACTGCGTACAACAGCTGAAGGAGTATGATGGCAAGACCCTTGTCTCTGTCACCAAGGAAGGCCTCGAGCTACCAGAAGACGAAGCAGAGAAGAAGCGGCAGGAGGAGAACAAGACCAAGTTCGAGAACCTGTGCAAGGTCATGAAGGACATTTTGGACAAGAAGGTTGAGAAGGTCATTGTCTCTAACCGGCTGGTGAAGTCTCCCTGCTGCATCGTCACCTCCCAGTATGGCTGGACCGCCAACATGGAGAGGATCATGAAGGCGCAGGCGCTGAGGGACTCCAGCACCATGGGCTACATGGCAGCCAAGAAGCACTTGGAAGTCAACCCTGACCACCCCATCATGGAGAACCTGAGAGTGAAGGCAGGACGCAGACCGCAACGACAAGGCGGTCAAGGACCTAGTCATGCTGCTCTTCGAGACTGCACTCCTGTGCTCTGGCTTCGCCCTCGAAGACCCTCAGCTCCATGCGGACCGCATCTATCGCATGATCAAGCTTGGTCTTGGCATTGACGAGGATGAGGTTGCTGGCGCCGGAGACAACACATCCACTGGGCCCACAGCTGACGAGATGCCACCCCTGGAAGGAGACGATGAAGATGCATCTCGCATGGAAGAGGTTGACTGAGCTGGACTTAGTCTCCTTAGGTTTTTTTTTTTTCACTTGTACATACCTCACACAGTCATGTGTTCATCTGTATTTTTCTCCCCGGTGTTAATAAAAGTTTGTGTTCTGTGCAATCCAGACTTAGTCTTTCTTGCAGTCATGTTGAATGGGAGCAGCAGATTGGAACATAGTGGTGCGAAATGCAATAGTAGGGCTTTATAATACTGGGGTCCCAGGAAAGTCCAATTTCTGGCTTTTTAGCAAATGTGTCGAAATTGCTCATTTCAAATGTAAATTTACTTGTCAGTCAGCCAATCTTTTAACTCTATGCTCTGTTGTATGTTTTAAACTAACTCTAGTCAATGTGGTATTTACAGGTAACCTTAATTGATAAACCTTCCATATCCCCATAAAATTAAGAACAGATCCAATGTACCACCATGAGCATTCAAAGGGAATGTTTTTCATTGCAATGTCGTAAAAAAAAAAATGTAGGCAGTTGGAAATATTTTATAAAACTAGTTTACATTTGAGAAAGGATGCCAAGAGAAAGGACTCTGGTATTAGCGCCGCCAAAAGCAACTGAAATTTAATGCTTGCATGAATCCTAACCTTGCTATGTAGACCAACTTTAGTAAATAGCACATAAGTGTAACAGACCCTAACCTGATACAATATCATCCCATCACATTTGTAATGTTTATAAAATTCGCACTGCAATCGCAATTCCCCAACACTTTTTTACTTACAATCATTTTCCGAGCTTCCATCGGTTCGGCCGCTTGCCTCCTGACTGGAAAGTGGGACGCATTGCTCCAGTGCACAAAAAGGGTGATAAAGATTTGGTGCCAAACTATCATCCAATTTAAGTCTTCATCTTGTGAAGTGCTTGAACATATCATAGCTAAATTTATGATGTTTCTTAATGAAAACATACTTTTGGATGTTCAGCGTGGTTTCAGGAAAGGGTTTTCCATAGAAACTCAGTTAATTTCTGTTGTGCAGTTTTTCACAAATTTTAGATAAGGCAGGTCAAGTTGATGTCATCTTGGATTTCACGAAGGCATTCGATCTTGTTCCTCATGATAGGCTAATTCAAAAACTGGAACCGATTGGCCTTCCAGAATTTATGATTTCCTGGATTTCTTCCTATTTGTCTGACCGCGTTCAGTTTGTAAGCATTGCCGGTAATTGCTCTGACCTGCTCCCTGTAACTTCTGGGGTTCCCCATGGGAGTGTACTTGGGCCTTTATTATTTTTAATTTATATTAATAACATTGTTGATACTGTTTCTTCACCGATTCAGATCAGACTGTTTGCTGATGATTGTGTGCTGTTTAATGAAATAACTTCCTATGACGACCAGATCTTGCTAAACACTAACCTCCAAAATATCTGCATGGTGCGAGCAATGGGAGATGAGGTTAAACACAGACAAAACTGTCTTCATGCGAGTAACCAACAAAAAAAATAATTTACCATTTACATATCAATCCGGTACCCAGACACTAGCTGAGGTTGTTGAGTATAAGTACCTTAATGTCACTCTAACAAACGACCTCGGCTGGAATAAGCACAACTCTAATATTTGCGCATCGTCTTTTCGTAAACTTGGTCTTTTGAGACACAAACTAAAGCATGCTCCTTCTACTGTAAAAAAACTAACTTATTTGACTGTTATGCGCCCCTCATTGGAATATGCCTCAATCGTCTGGGACCCATACACAAAAAGAAACATTGAGGCTCTCGAACTAATCCAACGCAAAGCGGTACGTTTTATTTACTCCAAGTACCGAAGAACTGATTCCCCCACAAACCTTATGAAAGAAAACAGTATACCCACACTTGAAAAACCTTGTAAAATTCACAGGCTCACATTTCTTTTTTTTTTTTAAATAACAACAAGCTGTCAGTAAACCGTGATTTGTATCTGAAAACGCTTACGACAAGACAAATCCGGCATCGACAAACTCGTTCATTAACACCGTATTTCGCCAGAACATTTTCAAATACTCGTTCTTTCCTCGAACCATAAACGACTGGAACTGCCTACCTCAATCGTTAACCAGCTTTGTAGAGGCACTTGAACGTATTTAACATGACCTATGTTTTTGTATCTTTTGTATATGATGTATCTTTTTCGTTCTTGCTGTATACACTTGTGTGCAATGTTATGATCTTTGCCCCTCCTGCTAGGGCCCTTAAATGGGTCTGCAGTATTTTGTAAATAAAAAAAAAATGAATGTTTCACCAAGCATGGGGATCTTCCAGAGACTTTCAGACATGGTGTGGCTTTGTGGTAGACTGATTGGGTTCAATTCCTGCTGGGACCATAAATATTTGCATTCGGGTCAATGCTGCTGATGTTGGTTTCCTTTATGCTCCCACACCTAATTGACCCATGGTTCTCGCTAGATGTAAATTGAAACACCTATGGCGCATACCCTAGCCCTGGTATACAAGTACTCTTTATTTTTTTTTATTTTTTTTTTGCATTGTAAAAAATGATCTATTATGAGGTCCAGTGTGGCCAATCCCCATGTGGGTATGATCCAAGATCTCCTAGGAGACAAGACAAGGTATGTGCTACATAGGGATGGCACCAGGAAGGCTGGTACCTCCCCTGAATTTGCGCCTGCCTCCCCTTTGTCCCTCCCCCAATAGAAAAGCTAGTCCAAGTACAACCCATAACTTTCCCACCTCTGTGCCACCCTAGGAAACTCACTTGCAGCCTGTGTCCTCCCCCTTAGTAAGAAAATCCTGGCATCACCCCTGGTGCCACATGTCTGGGAGGAAATGTTTCACTTTGTACACCATGGGATTTTCATATTATTAATGTCATGGCCAGACAGTCATAATTGTCAAACTCTCCATCTTCCTATACTAATTTTGGTCAACCCCACGTTAAGGAAGTGTTACGAGAGTACCCAGAAGTAGGGGGCAGATAGGTAGTTGGATACCTAGATAGAAATCTTTAAAGTGTCTGCAGTGCACAAAAAAATGCTTCGCATTGAAAAGTTAACTTGGGGGAAGATGTAATGACGTGTGAGAAAAAAAAGTTACATTAATCTGTAGCCTAAGGCAATGAAATTTCAGTTGTATATATACGCTTTTGTGCTGATTTCAAATAAGTAAATAGTTTTATAGGAGATGTGTTCGTTTTATGCCATGACAATGTAAATATAGTTCATTTTGGACAAACCTTTTATGTCACTAAATGTGTATGGTTCTGAGTCAATAATAGGTCATATGCTTCTATATTAACTGTAGAATGCAAAAAACTATAAAGAAAGTATGCATAAAACATTTTAATGGGTTAAGAAATGGTGATGTGAGAATTCTGAGAATCCTCAGCTCGTACTAATTGTTTACTTCAAGTTTGCAATAATTACGCAGATGATATCAAGTTTCAAAGGAGATACTTGCACGCATCAGATGTTAATAAGGAATATGTGGGCGAAATTTCACCCTGGTCGGGTTAAAGTAGCAAAAACATGTCCAAACTCGCAAAGTTGCCCAAAAATGGATCTTGAGAAAAACGCATTTGAAGGTATAACTGACAGCTCATCTATACAGAAAAGATATGTTTTTTGTTAAGATGATTTCTTCCCTCATGAGAGCTTAGAAATCATTGTTTATTTGAGCATGTTTCTTTAGTGAACTCCTCATGTGAAATGCCGTGACAAGCATCCAGTAGCTACCTTGTGCTCTTTAAAAGTGATTTTAACCTACTCCGAGTTTAATTAGAATCTTCAGTTTTTTTTTTGTTGTGAAAGTAGAGAAACTAAATTTGTGAACGCAATTAAAAATGAGAAATATGTAACCTTGAGAAAAACTTGCATTTTTAGAGTCTCCATATACAAAACATGGTTGCTGACGAAGCACTTACAGTAGGGATGCTGTGTAAGCTTGGCACCAAACGCGCTAATTTCAACTGAGGCACGCTCATCAAGATTTATTGTATCTACATTTGACCAATGTCAGAATTCAGCTACATTTTATATTCTGGCACTCAGGCTTGCAAAGTTTAAACACTGGTGCTTTTAGATTGTGAATAATCACACTTATGTCTTGGTATTCCTAAGTTTGTAACAAACAATATTCTGTACAAATAATTATGCCAGTCTTCTCTTATCAAAACGTTTCATGTTCTAGCAGTATGAAGATTCTATAAATCAATGTATCTCTACAGAGGACATGACAGTATGTTTTAATTTACCAGGAAACCTCACTTTTTAATCCTCAGAGGTCTAGATTACATTGCCCCAAGTCATTTTTACAGAGAATTTGGGACCCATTGAAAGTTCACCTCTGCAAATACTTACAGTGAGCACTGTAGGAACAATTAAGATTGAATTAGACGATATATGTATCCTAACAATGTTAAACAGTTACCATATCCATACCTGAATGGCACTACAGTGGATCATTTGGCCAATCTAGAAACAAATATCGATAGTGATTAATGCTTCCATTTGCAGAGAGAAGGCAGGCATGAGAATTGCATCATTCTCTCTAAATTAGACTTCTCTAATTCGGTTACCTGTCACCCCTATTTACCAGGCTTAACTGCTGGCTATAGTCGTAGCATTTACACAGACTGTCTCAGTGTCCGTCCGGAAATGATTGTTTCAATAGACTGCCTCTCTGTTTGTTCTGCCTTAAGTGCATCCAATTTTTCAAGTACCTTATAGACCTACTATTTGCTAATTCCACGACAGTTGTGGCATATTTGTTTAGTGTAGGTATCTAGCCATAAAGGTTTAATATGCACATAGGTGTACCCAGGGTTCCCCTTTAGAGGCGGGCAAAGGTTCATTGCAGGGCACCCCTATTATAAGCCACAGTCCCCTGTGCCCCCTCTCTCCTGTGTGACTAGCGGAGGCTCGATGATTATATGCATAGGCTTGTGCAGGGTGCATTCAACGTAACATCCTTAGATTACGTCAATGACATCCTCTGTGAATGCACAATACACGCACCAGAGAGAAAGTCTCTGAAGATGGCCTTAAAGCTACAATCGGACTTAGAGTTGGCACATATTCTAGGCCTATGGCAAAGCAGCTCTAGTGTGTTACACGTCACAAAAGCGCTGCTGATATTATTGCGGCCCGCAAGCCTGAACAAAACATTG